GATGGATGGAGAGTGGCAGGGACAGCAGGCACCCGTGGAAGCCTCGCAGCACCCTCATTAGCAGGGGCAGCCTCTTCTCCCAGAAGGTGCACCCCCTCTGCCTGCAGTTCATCAAAGCTGCCCCTTTCCATGCCTGCTGACGATTTACTCCTCTGTGTTCCCCATGGTGCTGTTCTCTGGCCGTGGGATGACATTGTGGTTCCTGCTTCGGCTGTTCCTGGCCTGTGATCTGCATCAGTGCCCCGGAGTGCTGCCTCCTGCTGAGGGCACTCTGCTCTCGGCTGCCCCATGGACTGTGCCTGCGGTCTGTGCTGAGCCAAGGAGGGGAGGAAAACCGCACGCCCAGCACCGTGACATTGTGATACACGAAGGAACCCCCCCAGCTTCCTTCCCCTCACCTTTCCTGGCCTGCTCCAGGCACGGGTCACTCGTGGGGACAACGGGAAGCGGCACTCCCTCACTGCCTTTCCTGAGCCGGTGTGGGGTGGAGGTCTCAGCACACATTCCACTCACCCTGCCTGGGCCAGGTGGAGCCTCCTCTTAAGGCCAGTGCATCATCCTCGTGGCACCGAGCGGTGACACCGAGCTGGGCATGGCAGCAAGGAGCTGACCCACTTCTGTCAGCACGAGGCGGGCTGAGATGTGAAAACGAGGTGGCAGGGATAATGCGGGGACCGACACAGGGAGCTCAGCTGCTGACACAAATTGGGATGAAGTAATGGAAGGGCATGGCGATGCTGATCCTTCCTCTTGGTCTTGCTTGCAGGCAGGGACAAGCCAGGCACAGCAGCTCGCGTGCCTTGTGCCGAGCTGGGCCTGAGCACAATGACCTTGTGGTGACAGCTGAGTGTTTGCCACAGAACAAATGCAAAACAATTATGATGATTCAATTACTGCTCCTGTTTTGAATTGCAATTTCGCTCCCTCTGTAGGTTAATTAGTAGCACAGCCCCGGGCTGTCCGTGGCAAGGGTTTGCAGCAAAGTGCATTAAAATTCAGCTGCATGGCATAAACAAGCAGTAAGGTGCTTTTTGTGCTCGCTTCCTTCCTTGCAGTGCTTAGCATCCGCAGATGCCCGATGCACAGAGCGGGAGGGCGGAGGCAGCCACCCCTTCCCTTCCCGTCCCTTTGGGTCCCCTTGTCCCAGCCACAGGTGCTGCTAACACCATCTCTGCCTCTGCTCCCTGCAGGTACATCGAGAGGAAGGCGTTCCTGGAGCGCGTGGACCACAGGCAGTTTGAGATCGAGCGCGACATCAGACTGAGCAGGATGAAGCCCTGAGGGCTGGGGATGGCCATGGGGTCCCGCTGGCCCTGTGCCCCAGCTGGGGGATGCCAGCCCCCGCCTGGCCGCAGGGCACGGGAACTGTTCTCTACTCAAGCCTGCATGTCTCAGCAGGTTTTTCCTTTTACTGTAATGTTTGGGGAGGGTGCTTGTCTGTGGGCAGGGTGTGCTGTGAGGGTCCCATCACCCGGCAGGTGACAGAAGTGACCCCGTGGCACCGATCCTTCGCCACCGCTGGGTGTTGCCGTGCTTGCACACAAACCAGAATCCAGCTCTGCTGACGTGTGCGGTGGTGAGAGGGGCTGCAGGAAGGCTTTGTGGCTGCTGTGCAGGCTGTGGGGCTGGAGCCCTGCTCCCCGCTCTGCCAGCTCCACAGCCTCCCCTGCTCCTCCTCGCTCTTGCCCAGACAAAGCTGAACTGTCTGCACTTGTCTGCGGGGTCTGATGGTGCTGGGGGTTTTGAAGCAAGCCGATGAAGAAATCCTCCCTTGTTCGCTCCATCGAGGAGCTGAGAGCAGCTGCGGCAGGCAGGCCGGGCCAGGGGCCGTTCATGTGAATAAAGTATTCCATCCTGGCGCTCCGTGTGCTCACAGCCTGCCTGCTTTGGGAAGCAGAGGGCAGAGAAATTGAGGGTCACTGTTACAAGCGTGCGACCACAACTGTGGAAATCCCTGTTGGTGTCTATGTGCCCGTGGTCCTCCCAGCTCCCCGGGCTGTCCCCATGGGATGCTGCAGGGCAGGGGCAGCCACGGCCATCTCCTGCACTGTTCCACGCCAGCCCCAGCCCCGTCCTCGCTGCCGGCGTTGGCCCCGTGCTTCGGCCCCGAGCCTGGGCTGAGCTCTGGGCTCACGTGTTGGCTGCTGAGTCAGCCCTTGTGCTGGGGATGTGCTGGAGATGGACATGAACAAAACACCACGTGCTCGGGGAGCCCTTGGCCGCGTTACACACAGGGTGTATCAACCTGCTTCAACGAGCCTGAAATGGGACGGCACCAAAGTGGGGCTGCTGGGACGGACGTCTGCGCCTCCCAGCACCTCCAAGCCAGTCTTCCCATAGCAGCAGGGAATGGCTGTGCCTCTGCCGCCCATCCCAGGCCGTCCCTGTGCTGTCCCAGCCCTGCTGCACCCCAGGCAGGGTGGGGGCCGGCGGGAGGTGGCAGCTCCAGTTCCAGCACAGGGCTCGGCTCTGCTGTCCTCTGCCAGCTCTCCCCGGCGTCCTGCATGTTTCCTCGCTTGGATCATGTGTTTCTTGCCTCCCTTTCCTGAAGATGAGGAGTGATTTACAGGGCTGCAGAAAACACAGCTTGGCTGCTTAGGAAAAAGAAAATTAAAAAAAAGAAAGGGGGGATAAAACGCAATAGAAAAGCACTCCGTTTGTTATTTCCACCACCTGCCCTCCCGCAGAGGGCCTGGCCCAGAGCCCCCAGCTGCACTCCCCCCGAATGACCGCCGCATCCCCGTGGGCTGGGAGCAGTTTGGGCAGTGCTGAACGGCCCCTTGTGCTCGGCCCCAAACAAGGCTGCCATTGTGTGCGCCCGCCCCACGGCTCCGCTGTGGGGTCCCGTGTGGGATCCATCCCAGCTCCCCATTTGCTCAGGCTGCAGAGAAGGGGAATTTCTCCCAGGACAAGCTATGGGCTGTGCCAGGGCATGGGCAGCCCTTCGGGAAGGAGCAGGGCTGGCTGCAGCCTGACAAAACGTCTCTGCCCCTGGTGAACGTGTGCCCAGCACCCGGAAAGGCACGGGGATAAAGCCCTGTTGTGATCCTGTTGGGTCCCGTGATATTACAAGCCAAGAGGAATGTCCTCATTATTTCCCCAATATTGAAGTCTAATAAATCCCCGGCTGCCTTACAGGATTTATTTATCCGTTCATTGCTAGGAGACTCAGTCCCGTGTAATCCTATTGCTGCTCCGGGAGGCGGGAGGCAGCTTTCCGAAGGACGGAGCCGCGAGGAAGCGGCCAAAAGCCAGAAGCCAAAAGCCTGGGCTCCATGAAGGGCCTCTGCTCCCATTGGGGCAGCTCCAGCCCCACGCAGGACCCACTGCCACCCCTTCCCCTCACGGCAGTCCCACAGAGCTGTGCCTCCACTCGGTCCTGGGCTGGGCTCACTGACATGTCATGGAATCATTGAATCACAGAATGGTTTGAGTTGGAAGGGACCCTAAAGGCCGTCTGCTCGCACTGCCTGCGCTGAGCAGGGACACCCACAGCTCCATCAGTGCTCACAGCCCCGTTCCCTGACCTTGGCTGCCCGCAGGGATGGGGCAGCACCAGCTCTCTGTGCAGCCTGAGCCACTGCCTCACCGCCCGGAGCGCGAAGAACTTCTTCCTTAGCTCCGATCCGAATCTGCCCTCTGTTAGTTTGAAACCACTTCTCCTTGTGCTGTCACTGAAGAGCCCGTCCCCATAGACGCGGCACACAAAACCGGGGTCCTGCAGCACCTCCCCACGCCTGCTCCACGTGGAATTTCCCTCCAGTTTTCCTTTCAGCACCGAATTCCCGCGGGGCTGGGAGCAGCACGGGACGTTCCCCGCGGGGACGGGACACCGCGGTGCCCGGCGGGGACGGCAGCCGGTCGGTGACGCTCGGAGCCGCGCAGCTCCGTGCCCGGGTGCGGCCCCTCGCCGTCACCGCGGACCGGAAGCCGCCGAGTTCCGCCTGCGGTCTGCGGACGCGACCGCAGCTCCGCCGCCCCCGAGGGGACGGACGGCTGCGGGGCGGCATCGCGGCCTCGACGGGCAGCGCCCAGGGCGGCCTCGTGCCTCCCACGGCCAGGAAAAGCCCTAAAAGGGCAGGGAAGCCCCGACGGACGGCGATAGGACCGCCGGCCCCGTCCCCGAGCCCGCCCCCGCCCCGGCCCCCAGCGCGGCCCCGCTCCCTCCCGCCGCAGCGCCGCCTCCCGTCGGTGCGGCGCAGCCCATGGGCGGGGCGGGGCCGGCGGGCCCGGGCTGGCACGGCGCTGGAATGATCCCTCCGGCGCGGCCGCCGCCGCCGCCACCGCCATCCCGGCCGGCCGCCCGCCGCAGGCCCCGGCTCTCCGCATCGCAGTAGGGCCGCGCTCGCCGCGGGGCCGCGGCCGCCGGGCGAAGATGAACTACCTGGTGAGCGGGGTCACCTTGCGGGGCGGGCGGCGGGGGCCGGGGGGGGGCCGGGCGGCGGGGGGCCGGACCGGGCGCGGCGATCGGCGCGGCTCCGTGCGCAACGGCGCGGCCGGACCCCCAGCGCCGGGAGCGGGGGGCCCGTCGGGCGGGGAAGGACCGGACGGGGCCTCCGGGAGCGGATCGCGGCCCCGCCGTCACCGCCACCGCCACCGCCCCCCCTCCGGGCCCGGGGACGGCGTGCCGCGTAGCGCCGCTGGTGGCGGTCGGTGCTGCCCGTCCGCTCCGGGCACGGCTCGTCCCGCGGGTGCGGGTGGCGGGGATCGGGGAACGCTTCCAGTGCGGGGCTGCGGAGCGCTGCCGGGGGCACCCGGAGCACGGCGGCAGGAGGGCACCGAGGGCGGGAGAACCGCACGGGGCACCGCGGCATCCCCGGCGGGAGGGGGCCGGCAGCGGGCACGGACACACGGACACACACGCGTGTGCCCCCCGTTCAGCCCCCCTCCCCGCACACACACACGCGTGCCCTCTGCCCGCCCGGCGGCCGGGGGGGAATTCTCTGTGCGGGCTGAGTCACCTCCATGGCACTTCCTCCCCGGCGGGAAGGGGAGGGAAAGGCAGAGGAGGTCCCCGAAACCGGGAGGCGCGGGGGGTCCGTCCCCTTCCCGGCACCACCTCCGGGAAGGATGGGTTGAGCCGGAGCGAGGAGGAAGAACGCCGGGGCCGCGTCGGGTGCCGGGCAGCCCTATGATCCGGGATGACTCCCGACCCGCCGCGGCGCGGGGCTCTCTTGCAGAACGTGCTGGCCAAGGCGCTGTACGACAATGTGGCCGAGTCGCCGGACGAGCTTTCCTTCCGCAAAGGCGACATCATGACCGTGCTGGAGCGCAACACGCAGGGCCTGGACGGCTGGTGGCTCTGCTCCCTGCACGGCCGCCAGGGCATCGTGCCGGGGAACCGCCTCAAGATCCTGGTGGGGATGTACGACAAGAAGCAGCAGCAGCAGCAGCAGCAAGCGGCAGGGCCGGGGCAGGGCCAGGCGCCGCCGGTGCCGCAGCCCACGTTGCCGTACCACCACCAAGGGGGGTACAGCCCGCTGTCGCCCGCCTCGCAGTACACCCCCATGCACCCTTCCTACGTGCCCCAAGGGGACAATGTCTACTTGATGCCGGCTCCCGGCAAGGGGCAGCAGGGCCTCTACTCGGGCTCGGCGCCCACCGGACAGTTTCCCCCGGCTCCGGCCAAGCAGCCTCCAGCCTACCCGAAGCAGACGCCGCCCCACGCCTTCCCCAGCGCCGGGCAGGAGATCTACCAGGTGCCCCCGGCCCTGAGCCAAGCAGCGGACGCGTACCCTGTGGGCTCTGCCAGCCCTCCCCAGGATATATACCAGGTTCCTCCCTCAGTGGCTCAGGCTCAAGACATCTACCAGGTGCCCCCGTCTTTGGATGCGAGGAGCTGGGAAGGGCCCAAGCCCTCGGGAAAGGTGAGACGGGGGTCTGGGTGCGGCGGTGGGTGGGTGTGCCGTGGGGCTGGGAGTTGCTCGGGCTCCGCTCTGTGGCGTGGGCTTATGGAGGAGGGGGAGGAGACGGCCCTGATCCAGCGAGTAAAAGGGGCCACCGAGCGCCGTGCCTCGTGGTCAGGGCACCCCATTGCTTGGGAGCATCCCACGACCTCCTGTGGCTGCCGCGCACCACACTGCACCGAGATGCGGGCAGGGATCTGGGCACGTCCTCCGGGCATCGGCGGGTCCCTCGGTACCCAAATTAATCTCCGGGTCACCGTTCCCATTCGCGCAGGGCTGCTGTGCCGGCTGGGCTTTGTCTCTAGCCGAGGCTCGCTGCTATAAATAACCGGTGATCTCATCTCCGTCCCTCCGGCGTCACTGCACTGAGCGCGGTGACAGCGGCAGGCCGGCCGGGGAGCGCCCTCGCGTGGGCACCCACCGCCCGGTGATCGCAGCGTGCCGTTCGCATCCGGCACCGGCTTGGAGAGGGCAGGAGCAAGGGATGTGCCAGACTCAGCTCTTCCCCTCTCTCCTAGGTATTGCTGCCCACCCGCGTGGGGCAGGCGTACATCTACGACTCCCCCAAGGGCGAGCAGGATGAATACGATTTTCCCCGCCACCTCCTCTCCTCGGGCTCCCAGGAGATCTACGATGTGCCGCCCGTGCGCGGTGCGCTGCCCAGCCAGGTCAGACGGGAAGTGGGGCTGCTTGTGGGGCGGCTTGTGGGGCTGCGGGGTGGCAATGGGGTGACAGGCTGCGGAGATGTGGCACCCAGTGCTGGGCTGAGCCGGGGTCCCCGCTGCGTGGGTGCTGGGGCTGCTCTCCTGCCTCTGACACGCCGTCCTGTCTCCTCCCGGCAGGTCTATGACACCCCTCCCATGGCAGTCAAGGGTCCCAATGGACAGGACACGGGGCAGGAGATCTACGATGTGCCCCCCAGCGTGGAGAAGAACCTGCACCAAACCGTAAGTTCCGCGGGGAAAACTTGTGCACCAAAAGAGACGCATGAGGGCAGCGGTGCTGCCGGGCTGCGGCGTGCGCATCTCCTTCCACGTGCCCACGGCATGCCCAGAGCCAGTGCCTACGTGCAGCAGGGTGCAGCCAGAGCCTCGGGCAGTGCATGGCTCTGCCTCCCTGCCACACGGCGGGCACATGGGAGCGGGGCTGGTGTGCGCGGGTGGCTCCAGCTGCACTGATGCTGCTTGGCGGTGCCCTTGCAGGTATACGACGTGCCGCCCTCCGTCAGCAAGGACGTGCCGGACGGCCCCGTGCGGGAGGAGACGTACGACGTGCCCCCCGCCTTTGCCAAGCAGAAAGCCTTTGAGCCCCCCCGCCACCCCCCAGTGCTCACCCAGCAGGAGCCCTACCTGCCAGAGGATGTCTATGACGTCCCACCGGCAGCCGGGAAAGCTGCCCCCGAGCCCTCGCTGTCCCACGAGATCTACGACGTGCCTCCCAGCCTCAAGAAGCTGGGGGGGTCAGCCTTCCCCTCGCAGGAGGTGTACGACGTGCCGCGGGACCTGCATGCCCCCGGCAAGGGCTCGGTGGACACGGAGGGTGAGTACATCTACGATGTCCCGCCGCAGGTGGACCGCGAGGCCAAGGCGGCTGACACCAAGCGTCTCTCGGCCTCCAGCACGGGCAGCACCCGCAGCAACATCTCCACCTCCTCGCTGGACACGGTGCCCGTGAAGGAGCCGGCCAAAGGGCCCGGCAGAGAGTTCTCCATGGACTTGGACGCTGCCATGGAGATGCTGGCCAAGCTCCAGCTCGGCGTCAGCGGCGCCGTCTCCTGCCTCATGTCCTTCATCAGCACCAACTGGCGCAGCCCCGAGCACATGGAGGCCAACGCTGCCGGCATCCGCAGGGCGGCTGAGGGCGTGCAGGCGGCCCTCCGGGAGCTGCTGGAGTTCGCCCGGGGGGCGGTGGGCAATGCCGCCCAGGCCTCGGACCGCTCGCTTTACGCCAAGCTCAGCAAGCAGCTGCAGAAGATGGAGGAGGTCTACCAGGCCCTGGGGCGGCACAGCCAAGCGCTGGATGCGTGCCACTGGGCCCCTAGCGCCTTGGTGGCCGGCAAGCCGGGCACGGACGACTTGGAGCTCTTCGTCATGTACTCCCGCGGCGTGCCCGATGACACCAAGCAGCTCGCCTCCTTCCTGCATGGCAACGCTTCTCTGCTCTTCAAACGGACAAAGCCGGTGCCCGAGGGCAATGGCCACGGGCCCACGCACCCCTCTGACAAGGCCAGCAGCATCCAGTCGCGGCCCCTGCCCTCCCCGCCCAAGCTGCTGGCACAGGAGTCACCCGAGGGCCCGTATGAAAACCACGAGAGCGGCTGGATGGAGGACTATGACTACGTGCACCTCCAGGTGGGTGCGGGCTGGGGGCACCCTGCGGCACTGGATGACATGGATGGGCGTTGTGTCTCCTCACCTGGGTCTTGTTTTCCCCCTCCTGCTGCGGCCCTGGGAACTGAGACCGACCTGGTGTGGGGCTGGGGAGCTCAGGGTTTGTGCTTTGCCCCCTTCTCATGCTTTTCCCTTACTTTCAGGGCAAGGAGGAGTTTGAGAAGACACAGAAGGAGCTGCTGGAGAAAGGCAACATTATCCGGCAGAGCAAGGACCAGCTGGAGCACCAGCAGGTAATGGGGCTGGGGAAAGAGCACAGTTCAGTGGGGACCCCGAGGTGGGGAGGGCAGCAGATTTAGGCTCCTGCTCCCTGTGTGCCCACGGCCATGAGTCCCACACGGCTCTGTGCGGCACCGTCTGGCTCTTCTCCGATCCGGAGAGGATCAGGGCACAGTTCCCACGAGGCATCCCCTGGGGCGCAGCCATTGCCGTGGGGCTCGGTGAGGCTCGGAGGCCACCCCGCCCATCCTCACAGCCATCTCTCCCCACAGCTGAAGCAGTTTGAGCGGCTGGAGCAGGAGGTGACGCGGCCCATTGACAACGACCTGTCCAACTGGAGCCCTCCCCAGCACTACGGCCCTGCGCGGGGCGGGGGGGCCCTGTGTGCCGCCGACCGCCAGCTGCTCCTCTTCTACCTGGAGCAGTGCGAGGCCAACCTCACCACGCTCACCAACGCCATCGACGCCTTCTTCACCGCCGTCAGCACCAACCAGCCCCCGAAAATCTTCGTGGCCCACAGCAAATTCATCATCCTCAGCGCCCACAAGCTCGTCTTCATCGGCGACACGCTGTCCCGCCAGGCCAAGGCGCAGGACGTGCGGCACAAGGTGACGCACTACAGCAACCTCCTGTGTGAGATGCTCAAGGAGATCGTGGTGAGCACCAAAGCTGCGGCGCTGCACTACCCGTCACCCGCCGCCTCCAAGGACATGGTGGAGCGCGTCAAGGACCTCGCCAACAGCACGCAGCAGTTCAGGATGGTGCTGGGCCAGCTGGCCGCCATGTGATGGCCCTGTGCCGCTGCCCCCCGCGGCCCTCTGCCCAGCGTAACACACCTGTACATAGAGACTCACGCAGGGCTGAGGGGCCGTGGCTGTCATCCCCTTCCCTCCTCTTCCTCTCAACGTTGGTTTCAGAGCCATGCCCGCAGTGCCAGGGGTGCGATCTCTCCCTGCTGTGCTCGTTCCTCTGCTCCAGTTGAGATGGGGCTGGCAGTGGGGCTGCCCCAGTGCCCTGGGACGACGCTGCGGGCTCCGTTGGCACGTTGGCCAGTTGTTGTAGTGCTGTGGCACAGACAGACCAAGCCGAGGAGCAGCGGCGGGGAGATGAAGAATGCTGTCCTGAGCGATGGGGGAGGGGGCGAGGGGCAGCCGGGGGGATGAGGGGCTCGAACCTTTGCATTTCAAGTCTTGGTTTTGCTGTACAGGCTGTAACTGAAATGCAAACCGACATTGGTGCCTTCTGAACACTGGCGAAGCTTCCTCCGGTTCCCGGAGCCGTGGAGTTGCAGCCACCCCCAAAACTCAGCCCCCTGGTCCCACAGCAGCATAAAGATTTGCCTAGAAATCCCCCTGGCGCCTGGCTGTGTGTGCGGTGCTGGGAGCAGGCACCCTGTGGGAGCAGCTGGGGTGTCCTGTCCCCAAAAAGCAGCAGTGCTGGAGCATGGCTGGGATGCTGTGTTCTTTATGGCAGAGTGATAACATGGGCTTGCTCATAGCATCTTGATGTGGAGCAGGACGTGGCACTGGGGTGGGCACAAGCAGTAGCGAAGTTGCAGTGCTGCACAGCCCACAGCCACCCGCACTTTGCTGTGCTCTTCTGGCACCTGCACCCAGGCTGCAATGCAGCTGCTGTGCAGAGGGAGGCAGTGCCAGGGCAGTGGGTGCCACGGTAGCCTTGGGTGACGGGCACCCAGAGCCAGAGTGTGGGCTCACAGTGCTTGCTGCAGCGCCGCAGCACGTACCTGGTGCACAGGACAGCCCTGACCCCATGCATCCACCCCCCTGCCCTATTCCTGTGTCCCCTGCCTCAGCTCCCACTGTGACCCCCAGCCCTGTTCCTGTGTGCCCAAGTGCTGATCATCATCCTCACCCAGGACCCAGCTGCGTCCTGCACTGTGGAGACCACAGTACCCGTGTGGCACCAGCCCCATCCCATGCCCCTGCTTCTCCCATCCCTATCCCTGCTACTCAGCCAGGCTGCACTGGGAGCTGTGCAGCCCCAGGAAGAGCGTGGCCACCTCTGGCAGCTCCAGCTGGCTGCAGTGGCTGCAGGTGCCCATCATCACCTTGTCCAGCAGCTCTGCTAGGAGGAAAGAGGCAACCAGAAGATCTGCAGGGCTGTCCTGCCTGTGTCCCTATCTCCTGTCCTCATGTCCATCCTGTCACTGTTACCTTTCTGTTCCATCGTGTCCCATCCTTGTCTCCACCCATAATTGCCCATCCTTTGCCCAGACCAGTCCCACCAGCCCTCCCATCCCTGTTCCATTTCCACCCAGGCCCTGTCTGGATAGCCATCCCTATCACCATCTCATTCGTATTCCATGCATCCCATCCAACCCTGTACAATTCCAGAGGTTCCCATGGCTGCAGTGTCACACAGTGAGGCGTTTGCTCGGGGTCTGCAATGGGGTGAGGGTAACCCATGTGTCCCAGGGTCAGCAGCACTGCCAGCACATTGCTGGAAACCCATGAAACCCCTCACTGACCCCTCAGTGACCCCTCTGGGCCCTGCACAGACTCTTCAACACCCTTCAGTCCCATCCTCCCCCCAGCTGCAGCACCACATTCCCCACCAGCCCCAGTGCAAACAGCAGTTTGCATGGCAGGCAGTGTGGCCTGGCCCTGTGTCCCCGCTGTCCCCTCCCGCCGGGCGTTAAGGTGGCTCCATGCGCTGCACAGCACCGCGCTGCTCACTGCCTGCCCCGCTGTGCTGCGCGTGTGTCCCTGTGCCGCCAGCACCGACCCGTGCTCAGTGGCCCTGCCCTGCTCGTGGGGCTTGGAGCGAGCAGCTCGCCTGGAGGCACAAAAACAAAGACATGTCGGGGAAATGAAGCTTTATTTGGGGCCTCAGTTGGCCGCCAGCACGGAGTCGATCCATTCGCGGAGAGCAGTGACACGAGCGTAGACAGCG